GGTCACTGCCAATTGCCCTGGCCCAGCTCCTGTTCCCGCAGCTCGGTCAAGGACCAAGGGGGGTGGGGTAATAAGAGAGCCCAGCTGGGAGAAGAGACATGGCTCAGGCAGAGGGAGGACAAAGTCAGCAAGTGGCCCCACTCCAGACCCCGAAGGCAGCAATCAGGCCCCAAATGGCTGGACCCAGAACAGCCTGAACAGCCAGAGAACTGGCCCTTGAGAAGTGGGTATGTGGCTTCCCTTTCCACACCCCTGCTCAGGCAGGTAAGGCTGTACTGAAACCTAGAAAGGAACAGGAAAGGGGTCCCAGGGTACCTGCTCGGAAGCTCAGCTCATCAGCTTCCTGGCCCGCGTAGTCATACAGTGCACGCACCCGCACCCCAGTGGCAGCCTTCCGTGGACACTCCTCATCTGACCACTCCTCATCCTGCCCACTGCTACACAGGGGAGGCAGAAGGAGGCAGCTCAGGGCCCAAGGAACACCCTGGGCTAGATCTCTCACCTAGGACTCGAGACAAAGGGCTTTCCCCCATGGAGGAACCCTGGAGAGGCAGGTCGGGAGGAACTGAAAGATTCTAGTCCCACCCCTGCCACTCATGACTGTGAGCTCAGGTGCAGTTTCTGCCACACAGAGCTGACATGAGGAGTGAGAGGGAACGTGGGACATGCCTGGCAGATCTAAACCATGAAACCTGGTATCATTATAACTACCAAGCAGGCCCTAAGGTCTGTGCCACTAATTTTCAACACACTTCAGAGTTGAGGGGAATGAAGAAAAAGAGCTAGAGGAAAGGAGGGCAGGGCAGGAGGCAGAGCTGTTTCTTCACAGCCAGGCCCCTGGCTCTCACCCTGGGGACCCCAGGGACTGGGGTGGGGGTGCAGTGCCATCTCCTGTGGGCACGATGCTGGTCAGAGTAACCTCATCGGGGCTCCGGCCACCCTTCTCCTTCCGACTGATTGTCCTCTGTGTGTCCAAGGACCACTCCTATGGGAACAGTGCTGAGGGTCAGGCTGGGCTGCAGCTGTGGTGGCAGCCAGGGCCATCCAGACCACATTCATCTACTTCATCCCCAGCCCTGGCTCCACTCCTGACACCCAGGCTAAGCCCAATGGGAGCCCAGCTCCCAGCTCCACCCAGTTTGGAACAACGTACCTCAAACTGTGGCCAGTTCATGGCCATGCCAGGCCCGTGGGTGCTGCGCCACCAGCGCAGATCTTCTTCATCACTGGTTGCCTCAATACTATGGTGCAAGTCGCGGTGGAGTTCATGGAACCTATGGCCCGAGGCACATTCTCAAACTGAGAAGTCCTGGGACCCTATACCCCCCAATCCCATTCAGCCCAGCCGGAGCCCAGGGGAGCTGGCAGGGGGCGGGGGGGA